CATCAATCTAGAGATTGTAAAGGGTTCCATAGACCTTCTTCCTTACCAGTCATGGCAAGACCCTCACCTCCAACATTACAACTGTAAGTCGATTTTCCTCTTCTACAATTTGTTTTAGTAATGTTTTGGCTTGTGATCTTCTTTTTTCTCTTTTTTCTTACTTGCTAATTTTTATTTATATATTTATTTTAATATAGAAGAGAGTGACAAGCATCACTGATATCCATGCCCTTTGGCACCCACCAACGTGCCAAAGGTGTACACCCACTGTCAGGTCCATGGATTAAACGAAGCCAACCATCCATGCACTACTTGCCTCCCCTCTTTTAGGGGGGACAACTCTTTTTCTGTTGGTTTTGAATTTTCCAACTTAACAATGGATGGTACCCGCTCAACATGTCTTGACTTGGTGGGCTTGCAAGGGGTCCCCTGATCCTCTACCTTAGCCACCTTACTTGACATGTTGTGTTGATTTTGAACCTGATGTGTTAGCCTTGTCCCAAGTGGTACATTAGGCATTCTCAACTCCTTGGCCTCATCAAAGGGGCCACGAGTTCTTATTTGCCTTGGTTTCTCCCAACCAGGCTTACTCTTCCCATATAGTCGAGAAAACGAGTGGTTGGACTCAATGAGTCGATGGCCATTCTTATGGCCAACCTGACATTGTTCAACCCTTACACCTTGCTGACTTCTACAAGTAGCACATAGCAATCTCTGATTCTTTGTAGGACCATGTCTAATTATTGTATGTCGGGATGTCTTGTTCATGCCCCCTTGTATATCGTTCATGTTTGGAATTCCATGAGGGTTGTTAAGCATGGACTTGCTTCTTTGTCCATCCCTTAATACACTCTCATACTTAGAAATTTTTTGAGTGGCTTTGGGTGGGTTGCACATTCTTGGAATTCCCCCTCGTGCATTTCTTCACATTTGATGACATGCCCCCTTGTCCACTGCGTGAATATGGAGACATGCCCCCCATGCCATTACTCATGGTTACTGACATGCCCCCATTGCCACACTTGGCTAAACCACCATTCTTGCTGGAAACACATGTGGCTTGGGCTTGTTGTGGCTTGTTGGGCACAACTGTCAACCTACTGCTTGTGATTGATGACATGCCCCCATTCCATCCCTAGCTACACTATCATGCTTACTGGAAGCATGTATGGCTTGAGTTTGTTGTGGTTTCTTGGGCACGTCTATCTGTCTATTGTTTGTGGTTGGTTACATGCCCACTTGTCGACTATTTATGGGTGGCATGCTATAAGGGGCCTTGCCTCTTTGTCCACTCTTTGACACGCTGTCAAAGTTATGGAAATCATGGGTGTCATGGGTATCCCACACCCGCTTAGACTTGCTACTCACTCCATTCATCATGTTTGATGACATGCCCCCCTGTCCACTGCATGGAAATGGAGACATGCCCCCCTCGCCAAACTTAGCTACATTAGCATTCTTACCAGAAACACATGTGGCTTGGGCCTGTTGTGGCTTCATGGGCAAAAATGTCAACCCGCTGCTTTTGGTTGATAACATGCCCCCCGTGCCATCCTTGGACAACAAATATGGTGTTTTGTTGGACACACCCTTTTGTTCAATTTTCTTGACGTCAACTTGCCCCCTAGCCTAACACTTCACTTTCAACTTGTCAGGTGGTAGGCTTCCATGTCCTCCTTCCTGTCCCCTAGGAAGTTTGCATCCACCATACCCATTAAGCAGGGGTGGCAATGAGGGTGGGCAAGTTTGTGGTGGTAGTTGATCCAAATTGACTGGATCTCCACTACCCTTCCCATTACAAGGTGTCATACATGATCTTGACACTAAGAAATTTTCTTGTGTAACTACCTGCACAAGCGGTTACTCCACGTGGGTGAGATTCTTTCCATAAACACCACTTTGAAGAGGTGGTTCACCTTTCACCGGAGATGATGAGTTCTTTGAAAACTAAGTAGTCCGGCCACCGGAGTCTAGAACATTCGTATCCCTAGTAGCAACGCTTGATGGTGGATCTACACCATCTTCGCCAAAACCTTTGATCTTAACTCTGGTTTCATCAAAAGTTGGCGAAACTTCTTACAACTACTTTCATTTATCTCGCATATCTCATCCAATTGATCTAAACGTCGATTTAGACGAGTATGAAAATTATCAAGTTGAGATACAAATTGTTTTGTGTATCCCACCATAGCCTCCTCCATTAATTGTATCTCTACCACTAGTGACTGATGGAGAGACAAGGTGGTGGCGGTTACACCCAAACATGGCGCTAGTGATGGCTGACCTCTTACCTCACCATTGTTTCCGGCGTCACATTTTACTAATTGGCCAAGATCAGACCTGGCCACTAGCTCTTTTACAAAATCAAGTGAAAGATCAACTTCTTGTTCTCTTAGTCGTGGAGCCAACAAATCAAACACAAATTGTCCCACCATGTGTGCCAATTTGTTTTCCGGCGATGAAAATCTGGTGTTTGAACAAAATGAATGCACTTTCGACTTCTTAAACAACGATAATTACACGGTTCACTCCTCTCCGAACAATGTTCGAACGAGGGTGTTTGATGATTTTGATGGCTTTTTGGGAACAAGCTACGTTAATTACTCCTACTCCAATGGAGGTTCGGTGAGAGAGGTTATGGCTAACTGCCTTGGTAATCGCCGTACTAACTGCTAGCCGGCTTGTTGCTCCAACCGCTTTAGGGACCTCTTTTCGTTGCTTTGGTGGCCAATTGGTAACCGTTGTCTTGGTCTTCACCTCCATTGCCTTGGAGCTCCTTGACCCGTCTTGTTTACTGGTTGGTATTTGATGCCTTCGGCACCCAACCAAATGGGTGTTGGTCTTGTCGCCTTGTCTTGACTAGATGAGGTTGAAGCCCTCAACCTTGCCTCCATGATGAAGTCTCGACCACACCCTTGGAAGCCCCTAAGACTCCACACTTAGTTTTATTTTTGTTTCTTGCTCCCGCTTTTGTTGTCTCTCTGGCTTGATACCCCTGCCATCAAGCCAGCCATGTCGGCTCATATTGCCAAGCCAGCCTTGCCAGTTGCGTCTCCATACTTAGTTTTTGTAGCCTCGTCAAGTTGGTAAGTTTCACCCTGCCGGTTTGGTACCCCGTTAAGGTGCTACCAAGCCCGTCTTTGGACTTTGTCTCCATATGGCCTCATAAGGGCTGAGCTCGGCGTCCTAGTCACCATGCCTTAGTCGAATTTCTTGTTATGTTGGCTTGATACCCTGATGTCTGGCTATCAAGTTCGTCTTGTCGGCTTGATACCCCCTTGGGGTCATGGTACCCTTTCGCCTTGCTTGGCTGCCGGCCTGGTAGGGGTCTTGGTACTGAGGCTGCCTTGCCTGCCTAGTACCCCCTTAGCTCCATAGTCCATACTTAGCCAAATTCCATGTCTTGGTACCAGGCCGGCCTTGCCGGCATGGTACCCTATTGGCCCCATACTTAGCCAATTTTCATATCTTTTGGTATCAAACCTGCCTTGTCGGCTTGATACCCCTTTTGCTTCATACGTAGCCAAATGCTATGTCAAAGTACCAAGCCCTACTTTGCCGTCTTGATACCCGGTCGTTTGGCACCCCGATGCGTCGCCTTGTTTTCACGACTTAGTTTTTGGATGGACTCCTATTTGATACCCGACTTGGTACCCGAGCGTTTGGCACCCCGTTGCGTCGCCTTGTTTCCAAGACTTAGTTTTTGGGAGCCAAATTTCATACCAAGGGTGGAGACATCGTCCGACTATGGGGGCCATGGAGACGGGTCGACCATCGTATAGAGAAAAAGGGGTTTGGCCACTTAGGCCCAAAAACCCAACCCAACAAGGCCCAACTAGCTCTTTTAATTAATAGTGTTGAGTTGGCCTTATAAATCCATTAAATCTCTTATAATTAATCGATGTGGTACAAGCTGATTTTTTTATGGGTAAACTTTATAACCTTTATGATATTTGTGGTGTGGTGAGATTCTAATATGTTTTATAAGCTTTCTAGTGTGCTTTGTAAATTAATCAGTGTGGTTTATGACTTTTGTGATGAGGTGACATTAGTTGGATGCTTTAAGTTTATTGATTTATTTGTGTTGTAGTTTTTTCTGTTTGTGTCTCGTGTTTGGTTGTCCCCCATAATTAATGCAGTCTCCCCCATTTTATGCACATTGGTACCCATTTTGGGACAAGCTACGGTGCTAATCCTATAGGGGGTTAGCACCGTCCTAATAGTCGTAGTAGTGTTTTTGCATGGAAGTTTTTGGTAGTCTTTTTTTATTGATCGTCTGTGTTGTTAATATGTAGGGTCTGTAGTAGTTTGATGTGCAGTCATGGTAGTGTTTTTGGTCATAGTTGTCTTGGGACTATGTAGTTTCGTCAATATTGAGGTGCAATATATTGATAGTAGTGGTTTTTAATAATACGTGTGTAGTGTTTGTATGAATACGTGTGTAGCGTTTTTGGGGTTAGCAGGTGCTAACGGGGTATGGGGTTAGCATCCCATCCCACCCCCCATTTTCCAAAAATTTCATTAATGACCATCGTGCTCTTCTATACCCTCTACATAATAATTGTGACAAATTCATTTATATTAAAAAGTCATCAAAATCAAATGAGTTATTGACCGGAACTAATGTTAACACCATATTAAAAAATGCAAGCATCTTAGCCCTTCTCTTATCGTAACTATCAAAACATAAATTTCCCACATTTTAGATAAGCAAAAAATTAGTAATAGTTTAAGCTGTCGATATTTTGTCCTGTTATGAATTTGGAGATAGAATCATAGAACACACGTACTTTGCCTCGTATGTTAGTCATGCGATCATTAACTATAAAAAAGATTATTATTTCAATCTTCATTGCTAATACAGTTGGCCTTTGATAGCTAGGTTACAGTTGTGTATAATGGAAAGATACATAAATTGTGATAAACCCCCTCAAAACCCTCTTATTTACAACTCATCCCACTCATTGTTGTAGTATAAATTGAACACGAATGAACCAAGTAGCATCATTGATAAAAAGAAACAAACATACCAATTAAGTAGCTAGCCCATACAAAAGCATCAAATCCCAAGCTACTTCATACAACACCATGGTTCATTCATTCACACCCTTCTTTCTTGCCCTACTATTCATACTGATAACTACCACGAATGTACTCGAAAACGTTCGAGGCGATCCAGACCTAACTTTCATCGAGGGTCTCTGCGGATTCGAGTACGATACAACTCCCTTCAGGAAGGGTCAAGCCATGAGACTCACAAGCGGCGACATCGAGCGCACAAGCTCCCATTCCCCATTTTGCAGCGTTACCGCCGATGACGATGGCACGCCCCAAATGTATGGTATGGCTACATGTTCGGACTCCATCTCTCCGGAGGATTGCAAGGCTTGCCTTACCTATTGTCAAGACCAGTTGCTGAATTATAACATATGCAATGATCTATACGGCGCCCGAATCATCGTTGCCAGCTGCTCATTGAGGTACGAGACCTATGAGATTGAGGAATGTGCGCCATGAATGCGTTGATATGGAAGATGAGGCCGTATACATCAAAGGGTTCTGTGTGCTGCTGATTCATGTCGTCGGATTTGGATCTTTCGAATAATTCTGGACGGCTTTGCTATGTCTTTTTTCTTAGTAATTGTACTTGTACTTGTGATTGTGGTTTTCTTTTATATGTGTAACAAAGTGTGAAGGAATAAAGACTATATATGAAGTTAATCATGAATGCCTATGTTTATGCAGATTCTGGGGTCTTGTATTATTCATATGCTTTTCCCATGTATGTATACATGGAAGTTAAGGACTGTAATCTCGATCGAGAAATTATTAAGGAAAATATATATAGTAGCTTGGGTGTTCCGAGCAATGTCAAGATGTTTACAATGTGTATCCTAATTTTTTCAAGCTATTTGAGATGCTTAATTTGCATGACATTAACGTTACATTTGAATTATTTTTCAATTTATAATAAAATTTCATCAATGATCAAACATTGTATTCTTAATGATTATAACACTCGTGAATAAATTATCATGGCCTGTCTATTTATCATTCAATCACTTAGTTATCTATGATTGAAAAGAAAACTGACGTAGCAAAAAAAAAAAAAAAACAGAAAAAAGGAGAGTTTTCTTACAAAACGTAGCATAAAGCCATAAATAGGAAAAATATAATAATAAATTTTCTCTTGACTTGACAGACAATACATATGTATCAAACTACTAATCCCGAAATTAGTCTAAACAATGCAATAACAAAATCAAACATGAAAATAACATTTCCAATCCATATTTTTTGTCATAAAAAAATATTTTTCTGCCAACATACTCAAAATTTAGTTGAAAATGTCTTTCAACCTTTATTGGGTGTGCATAATGGATTGGAACTTGGAAGGGTAGGAAAATGATTTCCTACTCTGTTCATGAAGTCTAGAACTCCTTAAGACCTGTAAACAATAAGGTCAGCTGGTTCAAGTTGCTGTGGGGAAAACACCATGTCCCACGATGGAGTTCTATTGCTTGGATTATTATAAAAGATGCCATGGTTACGAAAGCAAAGTTGCTGAAATGGGTTGGAGAACAAGATGATATGTGTGGATTATGTGGGGTGGCTAGTAAGACACGAGAGCATCTTTTCTTTGATTGTGTCTTCTCTAGGTGGTTACTGAGTAAAGTGGGTCTGAGCTTTGTTAGCAATTCTTGGGAGGCTCGGGTTGAAGAAGCAAGTGCACTAGCTGTTGGCAACATTCCTTGGAGGCGAGTGCTAGGTGTGATTTGGTGTTCTTTGATCACTTTCATCTGGCAGGAGAAGTGTCGAAGAGGCCATGGAGAAAGTCCAAGAAGTGCTGAATTGTTGTGGGTGGTTTATGGTTGACTGATGTTCGTTTTGTTGTAGGAGGTTGTCCAGATTTGTTGGATGAGTGTGTTAGGCTTGGTTTTCTAACATTGTGATTTGCAGGATTGGTAGAAAAGTGTAGAGTCTGTAGTGAGGCGATTCTCCAGAGAAGTTCTTTGTGGAACTCTCTGCTTCGTTGTATCAGAATTGATTTTGTTCACTTAACCGTTTTTATTTGGCAATAAAAGGGGGAAACTGATTCAACGAAGAATTTTTTTTAGTTGAAAGTCATCTTAGCCCAGCGGCAAATATAATTAAACCTTCCTTGCAATACTCACCCAACTAATGCAGATAATCGCATCAGTGCATCAATGAAAACTCTGGCTCGACAGCGTGATTCGTCATTTACCACGACGAGTTCATATCGAACAAAGTAACCCAGAATGGTACATATGACTATTAATCTATAAGATAACAAGAATTGATTAGATGAAATAATCGACAAAATTGATGTTCAGAAATTGTGTTCTTTGAAACTCACCCATGAGGATAAAAAGAAATTTTCATTGAGAAATAGTAGGCAATGGCAAAGTAACATACGAAAATAAAAGTGTGATTGACAAAATTATATTTCATATTCCATATATTTTAAGGAATTTTTTGTGCCAATTATAGCGCCCTCTACCTCCTCCACTTTAACTCACTGTGTATGAGATGAAGACAAATTATCTACTTTCAACTGGAAATTTGTTTCTATTGCCCGGTCAGCGACTCACGGTGTATGGGTACACATTTGTTTTACCGTCTTGTGCTTGTTCTGTAACATTCTTTTCAAGATTGGATTATGGTGAGGTTGTATGGAGAAAGTGTTAATAATACTTTTTCAATTTTTTTAATCTCTATATTCATAAGTATAGTAAAACTGGTTCATGCTGCTCGTGGATTAGCAAACACACAACACGTTAGTAGACAGCGTAAATTTGTGTATTATTTATTTTCTTATCTGTTCTGACATGCTCAACGGAAGGAAAATCATAGACCAATAGTGTCATAGACCACCCTAGAAAACTGGACGGTGGAGCCACCCTAGTATCATATATTCTTTCGTTATTTGCAAAGGTGCGTTAGTAAGCACATGCTTGATATAGTAGCGGCGATTCTCGTCAGCTATTCCAAACAAGTTTGTACAAAAATGTCTGTCCAAATATGAGTTTTTGAGGGAACGGACGACATTGTCCATGGATATATAATGCCAAACAAAACAAAAGGCGATTAGGTCAAGAAAAAAAGGCAACTTGAGAAAATTGATAAATGTAACATGCACGTTTTGAGAATATTGTAAAAGAAGACAAATTTGTTGTGAGAAATGTGCTTAGATCGGTGATTAGTACATCATTATCGTCCATGACAAAATCAACACGACAATTCAATTTCTTGTATACACTTTTAGCATTTCGGTTGGCAGTCATTCACAATCCTAAGTTTGAGAAATCCTACAACCCATCCTAGTTAATGATAAGTGTAACTTTTTGATATGTTATGGAAGGTTAATTTTGCAGGTGACATGACATAAAATGTTATGTCATTACACAATGTTCAAGTAACATATGTTAGTTTTAAGTGACGATGGAATACTTTTACGTAATGGATATAGAATAGTACTATACGTAATTTCACTAATATATGTTATTTTTACGTAATGGATACTAGCATAAAATTACGTAAAGTGGAAAGACATTACATAACTCTTATGCATAACACGCTGCTAAATTCTCACTATAGAAAGCACCGACACAATGGAACATATATTCATGTAATCTATTTGTATTTGACACAACAGTTGTGGAATTGTGTTACATAAGACCAACATAATAGATGTTCTTTTTACATAATGGATATTAACATGGAGTTAAGTAAACTGGAAACCATTATAGGAGTCTTACATAACACATATACTAAACTGTTATCTAAGAAATAACTGGCCTCATTTAACAGGAAAAACTCATGACGGAAACCAACCTTATTCTGGATTGATCGCTAGATTTATGTAATCTACATATATTTTACGTAACAGTTGTAGAATAGTATTACGTAAGAATTACGTAATAGATGCTCCTTTTCATGTAGTATTGGCACTGAGTTACGTAAAGCGCAAACACATAACAAAAATCTTACGTAACACCATTCTATAAATGTTACACAATAAACATTAGATTTTACATTATGCAACTTGTAAAACCTGCTATAATAAGTAAAAAAAATTCAAGTTATAATGACTCGAAGACATGGTAGGTAGGAGGCCCCCCTACGTTTACCATTATTGGGCCTCTAAAAATGAATCAGAGCATCAAGGAAAATGCAATACCATATGTGAATCTCACATTGACAAAGCACAAGTGAAAATCAAAATTAATAAGTAAGAAATCGACTTTAACTGACAAGACATGTTTGGGGAGAAATGAAGAAGTTCTAGTCTGAACTTCAAATTTAATTGTGCTCAGTATGGAACACTGATAGGATGAATAATCTTATGAGAAGTCATGCAGATGAACGCTACCACTTACCCTCACGTTTTAGCCATGTGATCATTAACTATAAAAAAAACATCATTTCAATTTTCATCGCTAATACAGTTGGCCTCTTATAGGTTCAAGTCGTGTACAAAGAAAACATATATAATTGCGACGAACCCCCTCTAAACTCTCATATTTACAAATCCACCCTTTCATTGTTGTAGTATAAATTGAGCATCAACGAACGAAGTAGCCCAATACAAAAGCATCAAATCCCAAGCTACTTGACCACAACACCATTCACCATGGCTAATTCCTTCATTCCCTTCTTCCTCCCTCTACTGTTCATACTGATCGCTACCACGAAAGTACTCGAAAACGTTGAAGGCGAACCAGACCTAACTTTCATCTCAGGTTTCTGCGGCTCAGAGTACGACGCCAGCTCTTTCAGGAAAGGTCAAGCCGCGAGGCTCACAAGCGGCGACATCGAACAGACAAGCTCACATTCCCCATTTTGCAGCGTTACCGCCGACGACGACGGCACGCCCCAAATGTACGGTAGGGCTACGTGTTTGGACTCCCTTTCTCAGGAGGATTGCAAGTATTGTCTTACCTATTGCCAAGACCAGTTGCTGAATTACAACATATGCAACGATCTGTACGGCGCCCAGATCAACGTTGCCAGCTGCTCCCTGAGGTACGAGACCTATGCAATGGACGAATGCACGGCATGATGAATGCGCCTTGATCGAAGAGATGCTGCTGATTAATTGGTGTCGTTGGATTTGGATCGTTCGAATAATTCTCTGGACGTCTTTGCTATGTCCCTTTTCTTTGCATTTGTAGCTGTGATTGTGGTTTTCTTTTATGTGTGTGTGTGTGACGAAGTGTGAAGAAATAAAAAGTTGTGAAGTTAATCACGAGGGCCTATTTAGATTATGGGCTCTTGTGTTATTCATATGCCTTCCCCATGTATATTATACATGGAAGTTAAGAAGTGTAATCTCTATTGAAAAATGGTTAATGATATATATAACCATATATATATATATATATATATATATAGTTAATGATATATATAACCATATATATATATATATATATATATATATATATATATATATATATATATATATATATATATATATATATATATATATATATATATGGCAAAGAAAATGCTATACCGAGGGTAAATCTAGCAGTATTGTATTTTCTTATTAAGAAAATGCTATATGGACATTGAATTAGCAAGATTTTGGATTATGGTACTACTAATTTTTTTTAGTGAACTTTGACTCATAATTCTCCAAATTCCACACCCTAAGTTCCAAGATGTTGCATTTAGTATGTTGGACTTATTTTGATGATTCAAAACCATCGATTATTGTTTCTAATGAAAGATATAAGATCTACCGATTAGTGAGTATAATAGATATACATTCACTACGGAAGGTTCAAAGAGAAATCCACACATCTCAATACAACTAATTCTTAGTCAAGAGTCACAGTTTTTGTTGTACTTTTCAAAAGTTACATTCTCAATTCAGGTGGTAGATTGTTTGAATTTTGAATTATGTGAATAAGAATGAAAACGAAGGAGCCAAGAGAAGCTCTCGAAATAGAATATTGGTGAGTTGTGGTAACTGGAAAGGTCAAGAAAATGTTTGATGGGTATGGGGCGGATATGGTTTCAGTCTTCCCCGCCCCATACCCATACTCATACCGCCCCATCAAGGGCATTTCTTCACATACAAAAAATAAATGAATCAAAACGTAGAGAAATTTTACAATGCTATATAGTATTGGTGCTATAGGTTTTTGTCTTTATGGTACAACTTAAAATTGTACATTTACGTTATGGTACAACTTTAGATTGTACCTATACTTTTTGTACAAATTATTTTATGGTACAACTTAATGTGATGGTACAACTTCAAGTTGTAAAGTTGTACCATAACATAATGGTACAAATTGCTTTATGGTACAACCTAAACTTATACATGTAATGTTATGGTACAACTTTGAGTTGTACATTAAAGCACCAATGCTATATAGCATAGTAGAAGTGCTCCAAAACGTAACCTATCAATGATAGTGACAGTAATTCAAGGAAATAAATAGTAGAAATGCAAATGAGTGACCATCCAAATAAAACCTAATTCCTTTTACTCATCTCTCACTTTACTCTTTCACTTTTTTCTTTGTGTTAACAAGATTATGTTAGTTAGTTATTACTTAGTAGATGTATCAGATTCAGAGAATAATGATTTGAATTACATTATACTCTAACTTATAGATTAATAGATGTTTTAGGATAAGATTCTTTGAACTGTAGTAAGAATTATTGTCTTTTTGTTAACTTCATGATATAGTAGGTGCGTCAAATGTTGAAATTTGCATGAAAAAGTTAGAAATTATAATGTTGGAAGTATGAGACGGGTATTACCCATGAGTACCCGAAACCCACGAGTGGGGGATGGATTTGTAATATTTGAAAACAGTGATGAGAATGTTTTAGGCAAACCCGTACCATTTCCATACCTATTGCTAACAGTGGTTAATGTTATGGTACAACTTTGAGTTGTACATTAAAGCACCAATGCTATATAGCATAGTAGAAGTGCTCCAAAACGTAACCTATCAATGATAGTGACAGTAATTCAAGAAAATAAATAGTAGAAATGCAATTGAGTGGCCATCCAAATAAAACCTAATTCCTTTTACTCATCTCTCACTTTACTCTTTCACTTTTTTCTTTGTGTTAACAAGATTATGTTAGTTGGTTATTACTTAGTAGATGTATCAGATTCAGAGACTAATGATTTGAATTACATTATACTCTATCTTATAGATTAATAGATGTTTTAGGATAAGATTCTTTGAACTGTAGTAAGAATTATTGTCTTTTTGTTAACTTCATGATATAGTAGGTACGTCTAATGTTGAAATTTGTATGAAAAAAGTTAGAAATTATAATGTTGGAAGTATGAGACGAGTATTACCCATGAGTATCCGAAACCCATGAGTGGGGGATGGATTTGCAAAATCTTTCCCGCATGGTTATGGGACGGGTATGTATTTGGATATTTGAAAACAGTGATGAGATTGTTTTAGGCAAACCGGTACCATTTCCATACCTATTGCAAATTTAGTAATTTAATTCAATACTTGTGGCGAGAATCTCATTGTTTTATTTAGAAAGATCCTCAATTAGACCAAAGGCAAATAGTACTAATGAAACAGGGCCGAAGAGCGCACACATTATGTATGCGTGATGAATATAATCGTCGTCTTAATTGTATCACCAAGTCTCGCCATAGTCGACGAAACCCAAAAACAAAGAAGACAAAAAGAAAGGCAAAGAACGACAAAAAGAAACGACGAGTTTATTCTTGTAGATTACGTCGGCATAGTCCTTTGCTCCTTTCCCACTTCTCTCTATTTACTTTGGCTAGTGGTAGTGACATTAACTTGTTTCGATTTTTTATCGAACAAATTCATGTATTTTTTTTTTGTATACATGAATTGGAGGCAAAACACGTTCCAAGACAAATTCACCAATGGAAAACCAATGTGGTGTATGATCTTGTTACGTTTGTGTGGAGAGAAAGATGTCGACGCACTTACGGTGAAACAAGGCGTGATGTTCGCAGACAGCGAAGTAGTAGGTACTATGACTAAGAGAGAATTGGTATACCTAACAAGCTCAAACGAGGTTGTACGGGAAGATTTAGCTCGTATAGGGTGCGTAATACTATAGTATATACGTATATTTCGAGGAATATTGTGAGTGGTTGATGTTTCATTCTAGAGTTTTGACTCTAGTGTTGTTGTATGAGATTTGCCATTTATTGGCTTGGGTAATGAAAGGAATTTGATTCAACGAAAAAACGAAAAAATTTACTGAGTGAAGCACAACTCCCATATAGTGTCTTCAACGAGGTGCGGTGGGAGGTTGGTACGAGGATTCGCAAGTTCAAACATTTCATAGGGATAAGAGCAACTAATTGATCAGTTAAACCTGAATGATATAACCGCTCAAAGCTCATCACAAAAGTACAGTTACGCCGTGAACATCCGAGGCGCCACAATACGCCGGGGTGAGGCCGAGGTTGGGACTGCTTTCGACGACGACCGTGGTAGGGATTGCGGTGATGATGAGTAGCCAAAGGGCTAGTGTTAGTGGTAATGTTGTGAAATTAAAAGACATGATGATGTTGATGATCTAGATATCTTGCTCATGCATGTGAGAATCCTATATATAATAAGAGAAAGATTGGTTAATTTTGTGGGTAGATTTTATTTATGCTCTACCAAAAAAATGGAGATATGGGTATTTCACAATAGAATAATAGATGGTAGAATTTGTGGGGAGGAGGGCTTCCCATCCTATAATAATGGAGAGGCGTTTTGGCAAAAAAAAAAAAAAAAACACATGATGACCCATGTGCTTGTTATGTATATAATAGTAGTACTTATTATTATTGTGGCAATCGGTGGCGTACCAAATGATTCCACCAAGGGGTGTCTTATCATAAAATTTCAAATAAATATTATTAAAAATAATATTTTTCTTTCAAAAACTATAAGAATATTTTAAACTCATTAAAACCATGCTTGTTGGGGGTAGTGTAGAGCAGAAGATAGTAATGGAAAGACAACACAAATCGAATAGGGAACATGAAGGCCCCATCCGAATAGGCCCAAGACAGTGCCAATGTGGCATGAAACCTAACACAACAAAGCCCATGACAAGAACAACCACGAAAGCCATGTGTCTAACTAGTGTGTACAACAACTAGAGGTGTCAATAAGGGGTGTTAGGGTTGGGTTCAATCGGATTGCGGGTTAGTAGAGTTTCAAGTTCATCCAGTTCGGGTAATTGAGTTCGGGTTCAATCGGGTTCAGATTCAAGCGGGTTGCGGTTTAGTCGCGTTGCGGGTTTATCGGGTCGGGTTCAATCAGGTTGTGGGTAAACCGGGTTGCCAGTTCATCGGATTTTAGGTCGGGTGGGTTGCAGGTTATTCGTGTCAACGCATCGACTTATTCATTACTCATTACCAACTTGCACATTTTATTAAACAAATTTAAAATATTTTTCACAACTTTTAACCAGTTTCTTTCTAGCTCGTATATATACTTACATTTAAATAACTAATCAAAATGTTGAATCAATTTGTTTGACTTGCAAACTTTTCATGTAATTAATCGTAATTGGTAAACTACATTAGCTAATAGTAATGGTGATGATACCAACATTTGCAACCAATAGACACATTAACAAATAATAAATCTAGAAAACAAAACACCACTCTAAAATAAAATTTCAACATTTTTGGGCGATATTAATCCAAACGAAAATTGGATTAAAAACAAATAAATTTTGGCAATATAGAAATTGATTTTTATTTTTTTTCTAATAGTTTTTAAAATGATGTGGAAAATTTGAATGACTAAATTTTATTTTTTATTAATTTTTAATTGTCATATTATAAATTTAACTGTCAACTTTGAAAGTTGATTGCCACATCAGCAAAAGATAATAAAGTTGGACAAAGAGTTACCAAATTTGAGCTGTTAAACTAAATTCAATGACCACGAAAAGAATTAAATATTTATGGTGATTAAACTCGAACCTTTTTAGGTAACTCAGTGACCAAATTTGTCATTTAAAAAAAACTTAAAAGTACCAAATTTCTGCATTTCTATTGCGCCAACTCTTCAAATTTTCAACTCTTAAAAATTTTGAAGTGGCCGCCCGCCCGCCCATCCTTTCCTTTCTTTTATAGTTATCTCCTTTACCTTTACCAAGGTTAGTTTGGATGGGTTAATTACTAATGTGGTATTTGTAGAGTCAAATAACTCATTTATTGTTCATGTGGTATTTTAGTGTTATTTCAGTGGTAAGTGAAC